TGAAATAATGGAGTAATCATGAGTAAGCAAACCTTTAAAAATTGTCTTGTTTTTGTTAGAAAATTATCAAAAAAAATACTATCCAAAGTCATTAACTTTAAAACTTCAAATTCATTTAAATCCACAAATTTCCCTTACCTCATAGGTATGAAGGAACTTTACTGCTTCTGCTATATGGATTGTATATCTTCGTGCTGTGTTTTGATGTGAAAATTAACCAGTATATCATGAAGAAATGTAGTCCCTGTTGTAGCTGCCTTGCCAAAGCTATGGAAGAGGGCAGTGAACAACAGACGCTGATGGGATGGGAAGATGATCAAATGTTCATTCGCCGGCAATCAAGGACAGACAGTGGCATATTTCATGAAGATTCTGATTACTCCCAGGTTTCTATGAGCTTACATGGACTTAATCAGGTTTCTGAAGGTAATTACTACATATAGCCCACTATTAAGCCTATCCATTAGAAAAACAGAAGAATGTAATTTGAATTTAGCAAGTACCAAATATATATCAGACATAGTGGGGATCCAGGCATGATGGTGATGCCCAGACTTTTTGGAGCTTCTAGTATTAAAAAATAAAACACAAGCATATGAAGTAAGTACCATAAGTACCATAAGAAGTACACAACTGTGCCCAATAAATAGGACACAGGGCAGATTGCATAAAATTTGCTAAGAACAGGTAGGCGATTAAGATAGAGAAAGAAGCATTTAAACCAAGATTTATCAAAGAGGTAAGATTTTAACTTGATGATCTGGGGGTAACAAGAAGTAACAGCTACTAAAACCCTTATTATGTATGCAGAAACAATACCATATCCTATGGAGTTGAAGCCAAGGAACCTTTAGCAAAAGGCCTGCTCAGTACTTCCATAAGTAGATACCAAAATATATGCACAATAAAATAAGGAAGCAGATAGTAAGGAAGGTGGGTAGAAAGGAAAGGAATAACAAAAGCCTTAAGTGCTAGTGAAAGAATTCTGGAAGTTTTGAGTAGGAGAATTATTACAACTATACTTTAGGAATATCACTCTGAAATGATGTTCACAGAACTGCTGAAATAAGAGGGAGGAGAAAGAGAGGTCTGGGAAAGGCGATTACAACAGCTGACCTTATTCTTAGATAGCTAGAGAGAAGACCATAGTATGAAAGTGAACACATCATCAACACTTGGCAGGAGAGAGACTAGAAGAGGCCAGAAAAAGGAGTAAAGAGAATGAATGTCAAAGCTTGATCTTGACTGAGAAATGCCTAATAAAAATTGGTAATTGATACCTGACCTATGTAACCATAACCCCTCTGTGTCTCACCTTTATAATAAAAATAAATTTTAAAAAATTTGGAAATTAAGGGAAGTGTGTTGGTTGAAAGGAAGAGAAAGGAAAAAATAAAAACAACTACAACCACCAGGTGAGGTTTAAACATGGCATGTGAAGCATTAGCAAGATCTTTACGTTTTATGTACCATGAAGGCAAAGTCAGTTGTGACCACAAATACAAATCTATGAATTGCTTTTTCTTACAGTGGTTATTTCGAAAGTTTCTAGTTGTGATTAAGGAAGAAACATCTGGATTTACTACCTTCAAAACTGAAGCATGACTTTTCCTGGTCTTACAAAATTACTTCTAGTGTTTAAGAGTATGCATCTGTCTCACAAGAAACTCAAGAGCCAGCCAGATTCCCTACATTAAAATCATACCTAATATTGGTTGACACTTAATAAACATTTTGTAAGTTATTTTATTAGCATTAGTTGTAATTCGTTTGCTTTAGGTACCAATGTATTATTTTATAAATGCTACACAAACTTAAAAGTTCCAAAGTGAATTCCCATTTTTAGCCAATATATCAGTGTTATCTTTGTCCTCCACTAACCTAAAACCAATTAAATAAAAGAATGTATTCAAATTTAACAAGTTTTACTGTGATTCCACACTAGTTCTTAGTTTCTTAAGGTTCCTTTTAGGAATAGTGAGTCCTAAAGTTAGTAACTAATGTAATTTAAAAAATCACTATAAGAATTAAAATGAAATGTGGAATTTAAAATGCTATAATTATTTTATATCCCCTAAGTATGAATTATCATAGGACAGGCAAGAACCTGGGAAAAAAAAATCAAGTTAAAACCCAACACAAAAAGTCCCTGAAGACAACCTATATTGTAGAAAACCAAGAGATACCTAATTCCTACTTCATAAACACTGTCACTATAAGCTTCACACTTAAGGAGTTAAGGCTTTAAGTCAAGAAATGCTGAGTATTACATTGACTGCCTGAGTTTCAATTAGTTTCTTTTTGTGGGAAATATCCATAATGAGGTATTCAAATGTTTTAGATAGCCTTTTAAAAACTGATACAGCTAATTTATTTCAATACAGCTTTCTAAATGGGCATTTCTAACTTAATTGGCCATTTGAGAAAACTCAATTTTTTTTTTTTTTTACAACAGATCCACCAAGTGTTTTCAACATGCCTGAAGCAGACTTAAAAAGAATTTTTTGGGTATTATCCCTTCCTATTATTACACTACTTTTTCTAACAACACCAGATTGTAGAAGAAAGTTTTGGAAAAAATACTTTGTGATAACCTTTTTCATGTCTGCACTATGGATATCTACATTCACATATATCCTGGTTTGGATGGTCACAATAACTGGTACGTATTTAAGTATAGTAGCAATAACAAGACTAATTTCATATTAGAACAAATTGCCTATGTTTGCTCAAAACAGTTTGGGAACACACTTATTTTTCAGCAAGACTAGAGATCAGTGCTATATACAGATTGATTAAATATTAATTTAACAAGATCATTCAGGTTTTCTAAATTGTATCTTATATGTCAACTACATCTCGCTATTATACAGCCTTGGAGTATAACTCAAGGAGTCATAAACAAAATCAAGTTCATAGGATATCTTTCTATCATGCTAACAATTAAGTCACAATACATGGAGTACACAAACTTATACTGAATTTTATTCCACAGTGAAAATAAAGAGCTTATGTTTTGAAAAACTATAGGTGCTCACTTTTTATCTAGGTTATATTTTCTCTTCAATATAGCAACATAAATACACTGAAATGATTGAAGAGGATAGAAAATAACATTTCACTTATTCTTAATAATATTTGAAATCTCCTATCTTCATGATTAATACTCAATTATTACTGCTTAGCCATAATTCTCTCTGCTCCCTATAGGAAAACTAAATATAAACACAGATAATCAGGAACTGCTCTCCAAAAGGTTAATAACCACAACTGATATATCAGAGGGACCAAGTATTGCACATGTGTCAAAATCACCCAGGGTTTGTATAAAAAAATTGAGACCCACACATTACATGTCATTTATAAGTGCTTTCATACTTCATTGGCAGAAAGCAATAATTGCAACAGAAAGCAAATACTCTACAAAGTTTAAATAATACTATCTGGAACTCCTCTCCTCAGATTCTGCTGATCCTGACTTTTCCCAAATTAATATACACATTAGAAGAGTATGCTAGTAAAAAAATTGAATTTTTTTAATGAAGATGAAAAAATTCAATTAGGTTGCATATTAAATCTACCCCAATTTTTCTAGCCAGAACTCATTTGATATTAATAGGACGAGAACAAATGAAGTTATAGATCACCGAACAGCCCCTAGAATAGCCAAGTAACAAAGTCTGCAACCAACCAACTGTTTTCAGTACTCATACACATAAGCATTCAGTAGGAAGCTTCTTCCTCTTAAATTTCTTTAATCTGCATTTTAAAAGTAAAGATCTCACAGTTTCAATTATGATTTTTAAAAAGTAGTTTTTTAACTTCCCTCTGGTTCTGTTTCTCAGAATGAACACATTATGAAAAAATGTTCATTGAATATTACAATTTAAGAGAGGTATTAATTGGGATGTCAGAAAGACGAGTAGAAAAAAAAATTGTTTGTCTTAGCTATCTATAGACTTCCTGAAAAAAACACAAAGGTATATCACACTAACATATGTATAAATTTAACTCTATAATTTGCTAAACACTTAAATTCTCTTTTAATGACCAGTTTTACCAGCATTTATTAACCAAAATCCAAACAGGTACCAGTGGACCTCTACTCCGTAAGGATTCCAAATAGGGGTTTTCCCATCTGTACAATTTTGGTTGCTAAATAACTTTACATATCTGTCATTAAAAACCTTTACTGGCCAGGTGCTGGTGGCTCACACTTATAATCCTAGCTACTCAGGAAACTGAGATCTGAGAGTCACAGTTCAAAGCCAGCCAGTGCAGGAAAGTCCAAGAGACTCTTATCTCCAATTAATCACCAGAAAACTGGCAGTGGAGCTGTGGCTCAAAATGGTAGAGTGCTAGCCTTAGGCAAAAGAGCTCAGAGACAGTGCCCAGGCCCTGAGTTCAAGACTTACAGCCGACAAAAAAACCAACAACAAACCTATGCCACCAGGACACCTGGATTACCCAAATTACCAACTAATTCAAATTATTTTACTACCTAACAACTAAGTAGGCATATATTGGTTCAGAAATGTATGATTTTTTTTATTCCTGAACACAGAGGATATCTGAAATATGTGCAGAGAAAGGCTCTGCACAGTTTGTAACGTGTTACATCTGTGCTGGTTACAGGGGCAACACTAGCAATTCCAGACACAGTGATGGGCCTTACTCTACTAGCAGCAGGAACGAGCATACCGGACACCATTGCGAGTGTGTTGGTTGCTCGAAAAGGTAAGAACCAAGTCCCTCAGGCTGCAGTTTCCATTGTTCAAGCATGACTGAAATACACTGAGTCAAAGTGACATTAAAAATATTTATTTCCTCAGTAACATACTTTGAAATGAAAAAAAAAGACTCCAAGAGAAAAAGTTTACTATTTAGTAGCAAATTAATTTCACTTACTCTAACTCCCCCAATAATATTTGTCGGAATCGTGCACTTAATAGTAAATAACTATATTATATTAGAATGAAAGGCAACAAATAAGCTACACACCTTATTGAAAAATGGTTTAATAAATAAAGATACTTATTAAATAAATGTTAGGACTTTAAATACTAACCTAAGAAAACTTTAAAAATACAAATTCAGCAAGACTTTTTCTCTAATAACAACAGTTTTCCAAAATTAACGAACAACAAGAAAATATCCAGTGTTTTTTTTCATGAAGAGTAGTAATAAAATACAGTATTGGTATGCACATGTTAATCACATGCATTTCCTCTGTAGGTAAAGGAGACATGGCTATGTCTAACATCGTGGGATCCAATGTGTTTGATATGCTGTGCCTAGGTATTCCCTGGTTTATTAAAACTGTGTTTACAAACCCATCAGTTCCAGTAGAGGTGAACAGCAAAGGACTCACTTATATAACCATCTCTCTCAATATTTCAATTATTTTTCTTTTTTTAGTAGTCCATTTTAATGGCTGGAAACTGGACAGAAAGCTGGGAGTAATTTGCCTATTATTATACTTGGGACTTGCTGTATTATCAGTTCTATATGAACTTGGAATCATTGGAAATAACAAAATAAGGGGCTGTGGAGGCTGATATATTAGTGTTTTGTGAAAATGGAATGGTAGGAGGGGCAGAGAAGGGAAACATTTCTTCATTTAAGTCAAATAAAAAACATCCTCAACTTTAGAATGCAAAACTTAACATACAGTAATTATTTATCATCAAAGAAAAACAACTTAAAACCAACCAAAATCACATCCTAATTTGTCTGAACCCTTTTTCATGGACAATTAAATATTCTAACACAAGTTTTGAAAAAAAAAATCATCTGCCATTTACCTAAAAGGAAGCTGATAAAAGCTAGGAAAATGACAACAAACAAATCCTACTATGATGTCATACTGAAAACAACAAGAAATAGCTTATTTCATTAAAAACAGTACAACCATTCATTTAAACTGAATGAGCAGACTTGCTGTCTTTTAGAAACCCAAACTTGAGATTAACAAAAATCACAGTATATTTTTAACATTATACTGCTGAAAGCTGGTGGGATATTCAAAAGTTCATTATTACAGCTTTTGTAAGCATACAATATTACTTTAAAAAAAAAAAAAGACTTTTACTAGGAGATTCAGCAAAACAGATGAAGGAATGTTCCAACCGTGGTTTGAAATTATGCGTTACGATCCAAGCGAACATCAATTTCTCTGCCACTGATTTTTATGCCATTCATTATTCTGCAGGCTTTTTCAGCTGATTCTGGGGAGTCGAATCTGACTGTCCCACAGCCTTTTGACTTTCCATTCTCCATTTTTATTTCTGCAAACATTACATGACCTGTAACAAAATTACTAATCAGTTTAAATCGATTCCATTCTTTGTATGGGATAAGTAACATTAATGCTAATAATCATGAACATTATACTTACATTCTGACAACACCACAAATCACATAAAGTAATATAAGCATATACAAAACTGATACTGGGATATATCTGCTTAGGATATAATGTTTTGTGTTAAATTCTTAATTTCTAAAGTGAATTTCATAGCAATAAGGACAAATGCAACTGACCATGACCCATGATAAGCTTGTACCTCTAATCAAAATTAGTTTTCGAATGACTGCTCAACTTCCTAATGTGTCTTCCTTCTCTTTTATCTTCACTCCTTTGTCCCCTGGAAATAACAATATTTGCCTAAATCTAATTTCTATCAGGTCACAAAAGGCCCCATAAATTTTACTTTTCATGTAATTACATTTTGTACACGTATTGGGGCTTGAACTCAGGGCCTGGAAGATGTCCCTTAGCTTTTTTAGTTAAGGCTGGTTCTCTACCATTTGAGCCACAGATCTACTTCCAGTCTTTTGCTGGTTTATTAGAGGTAAGAGTCTCATGCACTTTCCTTCCCTGAATGGCTTTGAACCATGATCTTCAGATCTCAGCCTCCTGAGTAGCTAGTTTTTTGGTTTTTTTTTTTAATGAAGAAAGCTATAAGGCTTTATTTTTTTTCCAAATGAGTAAAACAGGCTTTATTTTAATCATTCTTACAATTTTGGAAACTCAGCTACACTTGGGTTTTTCTCCCTTTTTTTTTTAGTACTTTTTTACTTTATTGTAAAGGTGATGCACAGAGGGGTTACATAAATAAGGTAGTGAGTGTATTTCTTTTTAACAGTGTAACCCCCTCCCTTGTTTTCTCCCACTTCCCCTCCCATTGACTCCCCTCTCCCACAAGCTGTAAACTTCCAACATCTTGTTTGCTGAGTATCACTGTTCCATTGGTTCTCACTTTGTCCCACCTTTTCTGTGATTCCCCTTCCCTTCCTCAAATCAGATAAACTTACATATAAGGAGTACCAAAAGCAGAAACAGGGACCACAGGGAACAAAAGAGAGGAGAAAAAAAGAAAAAAGAAAAGAAATAAATGCAAACAGTACACACGTACGTACGCACGCGCACGCACACACACACACTTACTTCTTGTTTCCATATCCTAGAGATCATTTTGATTCACATCATTTTATGTGGTCATATATGTAGCTAGGATTTTATAGGGGTGAGCCACCACACCTATTAATTGTACTTTTAATCAATGCATTTATTCAATATTCTAGTTTGGAATTAAAGTCTTAAGAATGGTCTCAAATTCACTATGGTAAGAAATACAGAAGAGAACATAGATTTAAATCAATGAAAGTAAAAATGATGTTTGACATAAAGGAAAACCATATAGAAGTTGCTAGAAGGAGAGAAAACCAGACAAGTGTTTCTTCTGCAGTTAATATCATTATTAACTCTACAACTGCAATTTTAGGTAAATTAGTATCCTTTATTAAAATATAAACTATTTTATATTTATACAAAAAAGTATGTTTATTAAAAAAATTCACCATCTAAACCAGAATACCTTTAAAGTAAAAGATAAGATTTGCTACTAGTTATAAATACATAGCAGATGTAAAGTTAAACTACAATTTAGGCAAACTGAGAGGCATGATAATGCAGACCAAACAGGTCATAATTTAGAGTATGACTTCTAGATGGAAATATCAGGCAAATCAAGCTAATGTTCTTTTAGTAGTAGAGTAGCTAGACCATTATGGGCTATTTTTTTCTTAGTCTAGCAACCAGATAGTCATATACATTTAATTCTAAAAATGGACAAAATAGCAGGAAAAAAAAGATAAAAAGAGAGGATTTATAAAAAGTTATTGCATACATGCTTTCCAAGTGAAGGGATAAAAATAAATCAGGGAAATTGTTTTCCTATTAAAATCTTTATCTAAATTATCCATTATATATACACCATCATGGACTATTGTTGTACTTGTGCTTTTTCATCCATCCCTATTATTGTATTCTTTTTAAAATAAAAAAAAATCTACCTACAAAGAATAAAGTACAGTCAAGTCAATAATGCTCACATGGTCATTCTTTGCCCTACTCTGCCTCTTTATCTGTTGAGCTTCATCTTACCTTTTACCACGCCTTATCTGAGCATCAAGGCATTTTTAGTTTTACTGAAACTATATCAACAGAGATTACCTATACTTGCTTCTACTGCTCATTGCCCTACACAGTAAGACTCATTTCCTCGTGGTCTATGGGATTCATGGCTAGATGCTGATTTATTCATTTTGGTACATGCCTTACTCCTACAAAGACTACAGACTCCTAGAAACAACTTTATTATTTTGCTTTTTCTCAGTGGTGACTATTAGCTGATTTGTATTTAATAACTTTGATAAATAATTTATCTTCCTTGAATTTTAAAATAGAATAAAATAAGAATCTACAAAGAGAGAAAACTGAACAGTTTCAAGCTAATTGAATTTTGAAGACTGGCATATATGACTTTGATCACTTTCAAAGTGATTTAGCAGACTGCTAAAAATAGAGTATCAGTATATGAATGAGTAAATTACCAAATAAATGAAAATCTGCACAGAGTGCTTCTACCCATTTATAAACCCATACTGTATGTCTAGAAGCAGTGGCAGTTGCTAGGATAAAAAGATATAGTTCTTGCCCTGAAATGCCTCCATCTAAGATGGAAGAAAATGGAAAGATCATTACAATAAAATAAAAACTACAATATCAGAACCCATTAGAAAATATTATTGCTGATAGTGGCTTACAAAGGCTACTTTTGTAGAAAAAATGTTAAACTTATCCTCCTCATTGACTTTAAGAATAAAAAAATCTATTCCAAACACTCTTGAGCTTCCTGTTAAAACCTCTGAGACCCTCAATGAATCACTTCTAGCCTTTTCTCATTGTTCTATGCTACATATTCATCCTAACTACTGCGATTATAGACTCAGATCCATCCAACAGCAAGAAATCTATTACTTTGTACATTCAGTTCTCCCACTGCACATACACATACACACACACACACATACACACACATACACATATACATACACAAACATGAGAATATTAAAATTAGAATGTTTTATAGCAAAAAAAGTATTGTACATAAAATTTTCTCTTTTAAACATAATAAATCTCCTAATCATCTACAGATCTATGGAATAATTAAGGTTACATTATAGCCAAAAACAATTACAAAGGGATCAGATAAGCCACCATAATGTGCCCATGTATTAAGGAATTCTTGGCAATGGTTCTATACTGTGTCTTGTCGGCAATACGGAATGTATCAAATGGGTCTGACCCATGATATTTCTGTGGATTACTTCATAAACAAGGAAGAAAATGCCATTAATGTTCCTCATGAGAAAAAAATACTAATGCAAACAATGTTGACATATTAATCCTTATGAAATCAGGTCATATAACAAGACTTCTTTTGCATCAGAAAACAAAAATAGGTTACATTCTAACCTTTGTCATCTAATACTAATTTGTACTGCTTTAAACAAGCAGTAAAATATGAGCAGTACAAATAGATGGTAAAGTAATTCAGTTGAAGTTAAATTAGAAATACACTTTGAAAAGTCTAAATGCAGTGGTTACAAGTTTTCCTCCACAGTAAATATCAATGTATCTGTAATCACTGACATACTCACCGCACTGACTGAATTTCTCTTTAAGTTTCTGCCAAGTCAAGTCAAAAGGCAGCTAGAAGGAAAAGAGGTATTAGTAACATATATACAAAGAAAAGCAGATTTTTAGGTGTCCTATACATTTATTTGCTTACATTTCTGACAAATATCTGGTTGCCTTTGGAGCCTATTCTGTCTCTCATTCCACTTCCCATTGGACCCGATAAAAATCCTCGATCCATATCGATGCTCCTTTCCAGGATGGCACCTATACCTGGTCCCATTCTATCGAAGCTGGAACTCACGCGGTCCAGTGCCATCCCCATTCCTCCAGTCACACTGCTCATGCCACCCATCCCACCACCTGCATTTCAAGAAGGGTAGGGGAGATTTGGGAATGTCGTTTTCATTTCAAAAACAGAGACAGATGGGAAAAGAAGAGGAAGGAAGAGGAAAATAATCATTTTTGAGAAAGAAGGGAAGAGAAAAAGCCATGTACATAAATCTATAATACACAAACATCAAATTATTTCATATAGTCAATAAAACAATTTCTCAAAGAACACAATTTAATTTGGTAGATACTTGGTTAGTGTCTTAATTCTAGTCACTATGCAAAATACATTATACATATAAACCTCTATAAAACTGTGTTCTAATCATAAAACAAATAATTAAGTTATATAAATCTCTACCAATCTTTACAAATATTAGTAATTTTAATCCTTATTTTCATTTTCTAATAATTATTAAACGTGCTGCTCTCATATATTTCTGTACATTCTTTTCCTAGCTTACTTCTCACCTCAGTACCTTTACCTGTTTCCCACACAATTCCTATTTTGATCTCAGTTGAATTTTCAATAATCATAGAAAAACATACTTTTTAATTTCCATATTATACAGAGCTTATAAAAGGAATAACAAAATCTGGTATTAGTCTCCTTCAGTAAAAGCTTGAGAATTTAGCTTCTAGCTCATATTTCCTTTATTTTTATGTGATTTTATTTCCTGGCCCTTTTCATTCTTCCAACCTTAAACTACTATTCTTTCTTGTACCTAATATTACCACGCATGAAAATTCTAAAAATTAACATCACCTTCAAATTGTCTTTCAGTTAATAAAAAATTATAAAAGTAGGGAAACATAAATAAGAACATTGAGATAAAGGGAGAAGAAGATAGGAAAGTTACAATGAACAGGAAAATGACCAATGCTGAAAGCTAGATAAGAGGGGTAGCTCATACCTATAATTCTAGTTACTCAGGAGAGTGAGAACTAGAGGTTTGAGGTTCACAGTTAGCTGGGGTAAAAAGGTCTGTGAAAGATTTTGAAACTCCATATCCAATTAATCAGAAAAATGCTGGACAGGGACATGGCTCAAGTGGTAGAGTACCAACTGTGAGCCAAAAAGCCAAGCAATGGTCCAAGCTTAGCCAACTTTAAGCTCATGACCCAGTATTTTAGCAGGAATAAAATGAGAAAGGTATGATGGAAGTAAATGTCTTAAACTGATAGGATTTTAGATTTTATTTTCAGCTTGTAAAATTCCATAAATTAAAGGAAGTCAATAAAATATGGAGGGTTCACAGACCATGACTCAGCAGGCAACAGAGGTCAAAACTAAGTCATGCATTAAGGCTTAAATACAAGGCCTAAAATTTGGTAGTGCAAAGAGGAGAGATTTAGCATTCTCAAGTGTTTCAACTGCTCTTGTGGGAAAGGTGTAAGAGTCAAGGAAACAAAAACCTGTTTAAACCTTTGCCTTCAACTAAAAGTTACTGTTACATTTGCATCTACCAAAAAGACATAAGGTGTTTAAAGATGAAATAAACTAGTAGCTATTATAAAAAATAAAATGGAGGTAAGATTGGTGCCAAAGCAACAGTTATCCCTGCTGTATGCTCATAGAAATCCCCAGATTCCTTAGGTAGAAAGATAGTTTTTTAATTGACTAATATTTAAAACATAGGTTAGCGATATCAAGGAAGTAAACTTCAAAGTTGAGAAATTTCAAACACTGATGATCAAACAGAAAGGCTTAGCTCATTAACTATCAAAGTTTCTCAAATTATGGTAAGGCATATTGGCATATGAGAACAAAGTATTACAATACTACAATAACTACTCTTGAAAGGTCTTTGCAAACACTCAAATATTACTGAATAAATTCTAAAAAAATTTAAACCTACTTATTCCAGATCCTACTGGACCCATGTTAGAAGCTCCTATTCTTCCTGCAAACCCTCCAATCATTGCACTGCCTAAACAAGGATGGAAAGATAATATACTAATTAATTTAAATAATTATACTTTAAGGTGCTATGCTTTCAGAAAATGTACAATAATTGAACAGTATAAAGTCCTTTGGAAATAGAATCCAAATACATAAGTGAAAAAACTAATACATTAAAAATGTTTTTCTTCAGGTAATAAATTCTGTGAAACATTATAAATTTCTGGTTTTACACAAAAAAAAGAACAAATTTTAAAAATATAACCTGAAAAAGGAAAGAAATATGCAGCCAGCCCTACCAAGTCTACCAAAGGAATCGCCAAAGCCTCGGTTTATTCCAACATCACCACGCCCAAAGTCTCGCTCCATGCTACTAGTCATCGCACCACGGTATAACTCTGAAAAGATTGTGCAACAAATTAACCCTTTTTCAAATACATCAATGCAAGGAAAACCATTCAAGAGTATGTCTATACTAAACTGGAAAAAGACAGCAAATAACACCAATACAAATAATCTATGGTTTATCCAACTTACCTCACACACCACACATACCATCCCCATTTCTGCTATGCATGTCCTTATCCCCTAGCACCCACATGCCTTCTGAAGACATCTATAGCACCCATGCCTAAGTGAAGGAGAGGGGTATTTTAATACTAAGGAAAAGTCAATACAATATAACATCCTCCTATATGCATTTACCTACCTCCCACTCGACCAACTCCACCAAATCCTCCCATGCTATTCATTGCTTCCAGACCACCAAACCCAATTCCTACAAAATAAAGTTTAATTTTAAGATTTTACTGTCAGTTGTAGAGATGAAAGGTACATTTTGTAAATATAAAGTCTCACTGTAAGCTCGTCATGCACCCTCCCTTGTATGGGGGCTGGGCTACTTCTTAACACTTATCTTCGCTTAAGCATCTACCTGGCTCAATTTCTGCATGAGCCAACACTAAAGCGTGGCTTTTTTTTTCTTAGAATTCTCAACACAGTTCTAGTTTCTTAAGAGAGGCAATAGGTACATGTAAACAACAACAACAAAATATGTTTTACATACCTCCTCCAATTCTATTCATTCCTCCAAACCCTGGACCATCCATTCCCATACCTCAAATAAAATATAAAGTATGTACTTTCAGTGAATCTTATCTTTGTGACTAAACAATGATATTATAGAAAACAAACATTACTGGTATATCCACAGTGGAATGCTTAGTATAAGAAAAGCAGCAGGATACAGAAAATGGTTTCAAGTGCCATGCCATAGCAGTTATCATCAAAAAGACCTCTGAATATTTATTAGACAAGAAAGCAAAACTCCCTAGTCATACAACATCAAGGGAGAGCATACCTAGACATGTGTACCCAACTCATTTGCTTTCTTTCAAAGCATACAAAGAAATACCAAACAGCATATTTAATCATCAGCACAGAAAGTAAACATTCTCTAAATATGACAGTTAACACAGTATTATGTATAAATATGTAAATAATATTAAATAGTATGTGTTTAGGAATATGAGGGATATGACAGCTCAAAGGAAAGGGAGAAGTAAATAAATGGATAAACAAATGGAAAAATAGAACTTTAGGAAGGTGAGGTATATGACAGCTTAAAGGTAAGGGAGAAAATGTTTGCATCAGAATAATTGTAAGAACTACCCTCATAATTTAGAATATGATTATAGCATCTCAAAAAAAGTAAGACTCTGATATCATTTATTTGTCTTATCTGTTAACAAAGTGAGCATCCATCAAAATCACTTCAAACACGACTAGTATAATTTGACTGTTTTACTGTCGTTCTCTCCTAAATATAACATCTAATGTTCTAGAGACTACATAATGTCTGATACCATACAAACTGAATTATAAATGAAACATTAAAGACATACACAAAATGCCTTTCTTCTCACTTGCTATTTCATTGGAAATAGTTTATTTTCTTAAAAATTGTACTTATGTAAAGCTGAGTATAGTGGCTCATACAGATGGCTAAGATCAGATCTGAAATCATGCCAGCATGGGCAAAAAATTAATGAGACCTCTCATTCAATTAATAAAAAGCTGGATGTGGTAGCATGCACCTATCTCCCAGCTGCAGAGGAAGTATAAATTGGAGGATCACAATCCAGTCAGTGTAGGCATAAATTTAAGAACTTCTTTGAAAAATAATAAAATTTTAAAAGGTTGGAGGTATGGCTCAAGTGTTAGAAAACCTTTAGTGGGCTGGGAAAGTGGCTCAGTGCTTGCCTGCATGCATGAGGCCCTAGGTTCGATTCCTCAGCACCATATAAGCAGAAAAAGCCAAAGGGTGCTGTGGCTCAAGTGGTAGGGCGCTAGCCTTGAGCTGAAGAGCTGAGGCACAGTGCCCAGGCCCAGAGTTCAGGCCCCACGACCAACAAGGGAGGAAAAAAAAAAAAAACCTATATAGCAAGCACAAGACCCTGAATTCAACCCCCAAGCACTGCCAAAAAATTTTATTTGTTACAAATTATATGTTATATATAAAATATAATTTTAAGGGTTAAGAATAGAGTTAAGCTTAATTACTGATAGCTTTAAACAAATAATTTTTATAATATTTGTTTACTATGGCAGTAAATATTACAGTAAATAACCACATAAAATCACAGAAGGGTTTAACAAATTCTAAGAGTATAAAGAGTATTGACACCAAAAAGGTTGAAAATCATTCTATGAATAAGCAACTAAGTCCACATAATGAGCTAGCTACCTAAGAGACTAACTTCCTAAATTAACAAGTGACATTGCTATGATATAGTAGCATTCAGCCATTCCACAAATACTGTATAACCACAATAAACATGGCACGATGTTGAGAATTCTCCTTAAGTCATAAAAACATTTCAATATCCACGATGCTCAAAGCTTCACTCTATCCACACTAGTCTCAGAGGGACCTTCCTGTACTTTGTCTAACCTTGTTTGTTTTAACTGCTCTCTCAAGGTTTTATTCCCTTTGCAAATTAGAGATATCCTAAATACCTATTAAATAGAATCCTTTAAACTTTATGACAAAGTAAATAAAAACCTTATTATATGACAAATATATCATTTTAAAAGAAGAACGATTACTAACCACTTGGACCTAGATTTCCCATTACGCCTCCAATGTTCAACTGGCTAGCACTTATAGGCTGTCCTCCTGGACCAAGTCCCATTCCAATGCCTCCAAGACCACCTAAAACACAAATAAAAATATGAATAAGACCCACATACAACTACCTGACACTAAAATTTTTCAATATCTGTACTCTTGTAATAGTAGCACTCAATTGTTTCCAGTCTGCAAATAAGAACACGAGTTCTTGTTTTCATTTAGAAAGCATCAAAGTCAAAACTGATTAATACCATTCATTAATGTCAAATATTTGACAAAACAGGTTGAGGTTGTATTCTATTTAAAGACAAACTGCCAACAGGATTTTAAACAATAGATCATACTTTACAAACAACATAGATATCTGAAAATGAACATTTTGAACAAATTTACAGAACCACTAAAAAACTAAGGATTACATTTAAGATGGTCCAAATCAAACTAAAAAGTCAATAGACATGAAAACATAATATTGAATAAAGAAAATTATTATATTACCTAGTACCATTAATATTTATTTACATTTATATGGTACTGTGTTTTCTTTTTTTTTTGGGGGGGGGGGTTCGGTGGTGGGGCTTGAACTCTGGGCCTGGGCGCTGTCCCTCAGCTCTTCAGCTCAAGGCTAGCTCTCTACCACTTGAGCCACAGCGCCACTTCTGGCTTTT